TGTGCGGTGCCCAAAGGCATAGCATTTATTTTCCACTCCAACCATCCCATGTCTACTAGAACCCTCTGTAGCGAAGGAGGGTAATGAGTCGAAGAGACAGCTGTGAGGGTCCAGAAGGGGCGGGGGAAGGGGGAGGGGAGAGGAAGCAGCGGGCCTTCTGAGTGAGCCAATCAGCTCTCCTTCAGGGAGAACACAAGAGAAGCCTCTGTCAGGAGACAAAGCGCAGACATAACAGTAATCCCATCAAGGTCAGCCAAACACGGTTACAACACAGGCAATTTGCCCATAACGCTATAAGCTGCACAGGAACGTAGCTGACAAAAACAACACAAGGTTTTCTTATATACAGAAACTAGTAATTTTTAGTTTAACAACACAAAAGCTGGCCTCCTACGCACAGTGACGCGGCCATGGTTACGTGTGCTGGTCAGTTTTGTCAGCCTGACCTAGCCTAGAGGCACCTGGGAGGGTGCTCTCAGCGAGGGACTGCTTAGATCAGGGTGGTCTGGGGGCATGCTTGTGAAGGATTTCCCTTCACTGGCTTAACTGATGGGGGAAAGTCCAGCCTGAATATGGGCAGTGCCATTTCATGGGCCAGGGTTTGAACTACATAGACAGCAGCAGCGAAACACACAGGGCTGACCACATAGGCATGCATGCATGTATTCTGTCTTTGCCCATAGCTGAGTTCCTGCCGTGACTTCCTCGGAACGATGGACCCTGACTTGGAACTAGAAGCTGAGCAGGTCCTTTCTCCCCTACATTATTTTAGTTGGGATACTTAGCACACTCGCAGAAATGATACTAGGATACGTGGGTGGAAAGGCAGGACGCTTCTGAAAATTAATCTACACACCTATCTTTACAAAAAAATCTATATTTGAAATTAAAACCAATATTGATGCTAAATTATAAACAGTTAAGTATAGAGGTTATCCAACTTGAAAAAAGAAAGTGAAATGTATCTGTCGGCTTTGCATCTCTACAAGGGATTTCCTGACAGACAGGCTAAGTACCAAGTAGAAGGTGTAATTTGGCGTGTGATTCTGGATGGTAAGTCTAAGATTGAATGGCCCCACTGGTTTGGGCCTATGGCAAGGGTGGCATATCCTTATGGGAGCTCATGTCAGAATGGGTGTCAGATCAAACCAGGAGGAGAGGGAACAGGAGGGGTCCTCAACCCCTATGGGACCCTGCCTCCATGACTTGAGGCTCTCCTGTAAAGTCCCACCTCTCAAAGTTTTGCGAAACCACCCAATACCCCCGTCCTGGGCACCAGATGCTTATGTAGACCTGTGGAGGATGTTCCCCGTGTTCAAACGATTAGCAAGGCAGGAATGTCCTTTCATGACCAGGATGTAATTTAGATTTCTTCCATAAAAACCACAGTGTTGGAAATGTGTAACACAGAAAATAACTGAATAGAAAAAGCATGAGCAGACCCATGTCTACACATCAATAAAGTCATTTCATGAGGACACTGACTTCCCCAGGCAAACACAAGCTTGCTCCTATCCCCTTTGGTAAGGAACAGGGAAGAAATCAGAGAACCCAAGCAGAAGACGGTGACAACACTTCAACAGGGAAGAAATCAGAGAACCCAAGCAGAAGACGGTGACAACACTTCAACAGGGAAGAAATCAGAGAACCCAAGCAGAAGACGGTGACAACACTTCAACAGGGAAGAAATCAGAGAACCCAAGCAGAAGACGGTGACAACACTTCAACAGGGAAGAAATCAGAGAACCCAAGCAGAAGACGGTGACAACACTTCAACAGGGAAGAAATCAGAGAACCCAAGCAGAAGACGGTGACAACACTTCAACAGGGAAGAAATCAGAGAACCCAAGCAGAAGACGGTGACAACACTTCAACAGGGAAGAAATCAGAGAACCCAAGCAGAAGACGGTGACAACACTTCAACAGGGAAGAAATCAGAGAACCCAAGCAGAAGACGGTGACAACACTTCAACAGGGAAGAAATCAGAGAACCCAAGCAGAAGACGGTGACAACACTTCAACAGGGAAGAAATCAGAGAACCCAAGCAGAAGACGGTGACAACACTTCAACAGGCTTAGCAGGTAGGAATGTGCGACCTGGAAACCCCTCTGGGCTGGGCAAGGAGCCCTGCAACCCACCCCACAGGGTTCTTACTTGGAGTGGTTGACTCCGTGATGTCAGCACACTTCTCTAAACCCCTCCCCTGCTAAAGGAGGCTTGATTTAACCTCGCCCAGTCTGGCACCTCCAGTTTTTTAGCGGCGGAGGGGAAGGAAGAGAAGTTTAGTTAGCCAAGTATGAGGAGTCAAAGCTGGATCTAGCAAAGACAGCTCTACCCGCACCCTAGGTGCTGAGCTTTTCGGGATGACGCAATCACACGGCAGGCTTCCGAAGGACATGACCACACTCTGTGCTCGCCGAGCTTGACCACTGGTGTGCCACGTGTGGGAAGAAGGAAGCAGCCCACTTCTGCAGCCATGAAGCTGCCGGCAGCACCTGTCTGCCCAGGTGGACACGTAGCCCAGTCATCTCTACTAAGACAGCATGGCCAAGTTCTCAGCAACAATGGTGAGCCCAGGTGCTGGGTGTCAACACCGCCAGTGAGCACAGTGCTGGGTGTCATTCTGACCTGCCACCTCAGACCTCCATGTTCCCCTCCCAATGGACCAGCGGGGACTCGCAGGTGGTGACAACCCTCGTTTCAACCACACGGCTGATGATGGCGGCACCCTAGACGGGAGAATAAGAACTAAAAGGGAACTGTGGTCCCTTAGGGAGAAAACTACCTAACCTATCTGTAATGTCGGTATTTACTCAAGGAGAAGGAAACAAATTGCACTTCTTTGTTCTACAAACCTGGCAGGTGTTGGGTGTTTTATCAAAATGGCTGAGCTGGCACACAAATGGCTGCCTGGCCCCTTTCATGCCTTAGCTCTGTAGTGTGACAAACTTGGGGAAATCTCTCTCTCTCTCTCCTCCCCCCCCTCTCTGTCTCCCTGTGTGTGTATGTGTGTGTGTGTGTGTGTGTGTGTATTTCCACTAAAATGAGCTGAATCAAAGAAATCAGTTTTTAAAGATACCAAAGAAAAACATGAGGTACGGCTCAAGAAAAACATAGTCTTGTTCCTGGCACAGAACTTCCAAAGCCTCTGGAATTTCCTGAGTGGTGGCCTGTCTTTGGCTCTTCCTAACAAGCACTCGGAAGGCCATCTGTCTGTAGTGATGAGGAAACCGTGGAAAAGGCCCTGGGTGGACTCAGGGCTAGAGTTGTGGAGGCTTTCTGTCCTACCCTGTGATACCCCAGGAGAAGGCAGAAGGTGTAGACAAGGCTACCAAACTTCCTTGGAGTCTCAAGGACTAGGAAGGAAGCTCCGCCCCCTCCCAGCAGCCCTTACCCTGTGCTCATGACCGGTATAATATACCAACATGGAAGCCACATATTTCCCTGATTCTGTCAGTCATTCCAACAAATTAACAAGCTTACGGAGGGCACCGTGAGACTCCCCGGTTTTCTCTTTTACTCGTTCACTCAGAAGTTCAGGGAATTGCTGGGATCTGAGCTGGCATCTTAGATGGGAACAGCCCGGGAGGCCTCCACTAACTATGGATGCTTCATGTCTACGGAGAACTGAATTCCTGGGTGCCCAGTTGGTGACGGAGAACTGATGTAGAAACCATTGCACATTTGTTGTCAGAAGTGGAGAGAGAGAGAGAGAGAGAGAGAGAGAGAGAGAGAGAGAGAGAGAGAGAGAGAGAGAGAGAGAGAGATCCTGCAGTAACTTCCATCTACACAGTGCCGGGGGAGCAGGATGGGACCAACTCCTCTGACATTTCACGTAACCCTTCCAGCTCGTTGTCTGCACCCACACAACTCCTGTAGCCTCAGCTGCAGCATCAACCTTCGGCTACCGCTGCACAGCCAACGTGGCTGACAGACTCCAGGACCCTGAAATGTAAGTTTATGAGGAAATCCACCTCGGGTTTTCTCCAGCCTCAGTGTGTGATGGAGAACAGTTAGGGCCAGGGTCTGCGGGGCCGTTCCGGAGAGATCTGCCGGCTGGGTTCCCTGGGTGAAGATGGAGAGCGGGCAGTTTCTAGGAGACCTGTGCATGGCTCCCTGAATGGGAGGGAGCCCCCTCTGCACAAGCCTCCCCCCCTCACTCTGCCCTAAGTGCGCTCATGTTTCAGGAGAGCGGGCTTCAGACTTCTGAGCTGCAAAGCTGTCACTCAGGGTTATGAATCTTTTTAAAGATCTAGTAGACACCACATTTCATTTTTTGTGCTTGTTTAGGGTGGATACAGTAGTTGCTGAGAAGGCATGACCTACTCCATTTGAATACATTTTTGGCAGCTGACCTCCATCTCCACACTGGAAGCCCAGCATTTCTTGACCCAATGGAGAAGCCTTCCTCAGCTGACAAGGGTGGTGGTGTAGGCTGACCCCCAAGTCGTTCTCTGGACATTGCTGAGACTTATTTTGGAAAAAGTTAAGCATAAAAAGGGCATCTTAGAAGAAGTATTTTGAAATAAAGTTTAGAAAGATCTACACTTTGAAATAAAATTAATGTATTCTATTATCAGTTCACATCTTCCTTCTTGACAGATGCTGCCTTCGATTTTGAAACATTTGCCATGGTGGGGGGGGGGAGCCTTTTGCCAACACACATCGATGGGCTTGCCCGTTTCAGACAAGAATTCAGAAACACTGCCAAGAAATCATTTGTTTGCCTTTGTTGTTTTTGTCTAATCTCAAAAAAATGCTAAGTAAAAAGTAGGACATTAAAACTTACTTTAAAATCAATTAATAATAGCAATGCTAGGCTATCACCCAGGGGTAGAACGCTTGCCTGAAATATCCAGGGTCCTGGGTTCTATCCCCAGAAACGTGTGTGCGCATGAGCAGGAACACACAGACACACACCGATCGACAGAGAGATAGATGGGAGAAGAGAGAGAAGACAGAATAGACGGGCAGATAAAATACAAGGAGATGTTCTTACCTGGTCCTCAAAAGACAGAGCCTGGGCAACGTCCCTTGGGAATCCATCAATCACAATGCCTTCTTCGTCAGGTATTTGCATCAGCTTTTGTTTTATCTCGGTGATGGTTGTTTCCTTTAACACAAGGATGGAAACGCATGCTGTACTCCAGGCAGGGACAATTATGCTCCACACAAGAAAAGACAGCCATGCAGTAAGTAAGTACCTGTGGGGCCAGCTCCCCGTTGGTGATTATCTTGGCAATCAGACTCCACTTTCTGTTGCTGCTGGCGCTGTGGATTTTCTTTCTCAAGAGTTCTCCCACCGAAATGTACTGGAATCCGTACCGCTCTGCAATTTTCAAGCTCTGAGTGCCCTTCCCGCTTCCTGGACCACCTGATATTCAAAACAGGCAAACCTGTGACCTTGTGTCCCTCCATGGCAACTACTTACAACATGCTCAGCCTCTACTCCTTATGAAATGGAATCGTATTTTCATATTCAACACGAGGCTAACGGAGCTTTCATCTTGTCTTTTTTGCATGGTAATCAGAAGCCTCTGGTGGCATAAAGCACCATTCTCCTAAATCTGCTTGTCAGTAAGATGGAAGCCGACCTGAATATAAGCACTAGCTTGCACTCATATGAATACTTCCAACACATTGTGTCTCTTCCTCCTGTGGTTACTAGGGAGTAAACTTTTGTCAATTAAAGAGAAAAACAATCCTCATTCTTAAAGAAAGCATCTGACTAACTACATTAAAGACTGAATGAAGGAACCCACAGATACATAAATCTAGAAGGGATTATTTCTAGTCTCTCATAGAGAATTACTGTGATGTTGTAATGGGATGCAAACTAAGTGTGAAACAGAGTTACGATTCTGCTTTGCTGACAACTATTCTAAGGTATTTCCACTTACTGCCCCTTGCACCTTTGTTCCTGGCTGACTGTCATTACCCAGCTTGACATTTGCAGATGAGACCCCCTAGCTATTGTTTCTGAAATGGCATCAGGTGAACTAACTTGGCAAAGCGGAGAACCTTGACGCTTGCTGTCCTACCTATGACGAGGATGATCTTGGGCCGCGGCCTAGTCGGGTCAAAAACCTCGTACTCTTCGATCAGCTCTGCGGTCTCAGACAGGTCCGTGTCACTCTCTATGGAGAACTGATGGATGGGGGGAAGCCGGTCATACCGTCGATAAGGGAAGTTTGAGTTTTCAGGCATTACTGCAAAAGAGTAAGACAGGTTTGAAATGGGGAAGCAGGGCACAGTGAAACGCTTTTCACAGTTCACCAGTTAGTACAAGAAACTGTATACGATAGCCGATCCCTGGAAGGAGGAAGGCTTCCTTGGTGGTCAGCCGACTATTTTCTTAAAGGGGCAGAAAGCTGATATCCTGGGCTTCTAGAGTATATTATATCATCCCATACTCAACAGGCATGGTAGCAGAGATTTGGGCAGAGACAACACCTGAGTGAATGAGGGGCCAGTGTCCTAGTAAAACTTTATTGATACAGATGGTAGGCTGGTTTGGGCCACCTGCATTGAAGAAGAGTAACTTTCTCAGGCACAGCTTCATTTTATTTAATAGCCTCTGTCAAGATGTTCTGGAATCTGATAACATAACCTACCCAGACGCCCGGGAATTCACTTCCTGTGTGGAATATACTTTATTCACTCTGGTGGTCCGGTAGAATGTTAAGGGGCATAAAGATCAAGTGTGTAACGTGGAGGACCTTTTGATGTTATTGCATTCTGTATTCTCAGTGTGCAGTGTTGTGATGGTCTGAAAAAGAATGCCCCCCCCATGGGATCACATATCTGCATTCGTAGACCCCAGTTAATGAACTATTTGGGAAGGATTAGGAGGTGTGGACTTGTTTGAAGAGGTTTGTTACTGGGCTTGGGCTTTGAGGTTTCAAAAGCCCACATCACACCCAGTGTCTCTTTCTCACCCTGTTTGATGCCTGGGGATCAGGAGATAGAGCTCTCAGTTACTTATTCCTCACCATGCCTGCCTGTCTGCTGCCATGCTCGATGCCAACAATGGACTAATGCTCTGAAACTGTGAGCGAGCCCCTGATTGAATGACTAAATGCTTCATTTTATAAAAAATCGCCTTGGTTGTGGTGTTCCTTCATAGCAATGGAATGAATGCTATGCAACTAAGATGAGTATCTTCAATTTTGTTGACTTACAATGTAAGTATGAAGATTTAAATTTATGTCTATACTGGCAACAAGCATTTGCCCTTTTACTTTCAGACGCGTCTATGTGTGGAGGGTGATTTTAGCAGGACGCTAAGCTGTAGCAGTCTCCTCGGTTCTAGCTAATTCTAGAGCTTAAATCCAACAGCCACACAACCATCAGGTGGAAAGGCTACGTTCAAGTCTTTCCTAGAAAACTCTACAGCAGATCAAGGAATGGATAAGTCCATTTGGGCTGGAGTCGTAGGACACGGTTTGCAAAAGAGGCAGTCAGAAGTTAGAAGACAAACAGAGGTGGTGAAAATTGGGTAGCAGGTCCCAGTTGCCACTTGCAACATTAAAATGAAGAGTTGAAATACAAACCACACACATCCCAGCGGTCCTGAAGACAGACCTGGCCAGCTCCAGACAGGCAGACAGACAGCACCAGCCATTGTCACTATAGAGCTCATGGCTTCTTCTCCTCATCCCAGGTGATGTTATTTCATCCAGGATACAAAGCGAACCCTAACTACCAAACAATCCCTGCAGGGGAGAATGGGCATCTACTTGGCTTTCCAAGGGGTGCTTTCAATAGTTGACGCACAAGGCATCATCGCCCAAGAGGGCTCATCAGTCGGAGCTTTTCATTCTCTATCGACAGAAGACACTAAGTCATTTGCTCGCTGACTTACTAGACTGCTTGACTCCACTAATCCGGGCGTCAGACAGTGGTAGACAGACTTTAGAAAACGTGGGGAAAGGCCGTGACGGGAAAGGCATTGGTCACAGTAACTGCTCTGCCTTAAAATGAAACAATTTAAAGATCTGTCTGCCAATCATTTGCCTTTGCTTTATGGCATTTTCATTTAGGAAAGTAATTTGCTTAGATGATGAAAATATTTTATGTTATAGAGTAATTTCTCAAGGTAATTGTATGTTAGTATACCATTGTCACTACGTTTGTAAAAAAAATCGATGAATCACTATGTTTCTAGAAATATTTAAGTTTAGGGGCAGTTAATAATTTTGTTGAATTTAAAAACCTGTTCCACCAACTATGGCTTATGCCATAGATAGAATGCTTTTCTTACTTGCATGAGATTCTCCATAGTCCGACCCCCAGCATTTTAAAATAAAACAAAGAATGCAAAGGGTAAATCACTACAAGATAGACAAATTTAGAAAAGGTTTGTGCCTTCCTATCATATATTCCAGGTATAGGACAGCCAGGCGTAATATAGAAAAGTCCTTAGAAAGGTCTGTCTAATGATTAATGAAAATATAATTAGCATCACAATCACTCCTGTCTGGACAAGGAAGGATGCTTCTCACTCTGGAGATGTCTTCGAGGGAATGGCATTTCTACTTTCCTCTTACTGAGCTTCTTAAAAATTAGCACACTATGACTTTTATTCCCCACACCACATTCAAATAAAATCTAACTGGGCCATGACTGACGAGGCCACACAGACTAAGCATTGTCTCCTTCTTATATGTTTTGAGAAGGAACCATGTCTCATCCCCTTGGTATGCCTGAAATTTCAGTGAACAGCATTTCTAATTTATTTTGTTATTTACTTAGGCGTGTCTCTGTGTGGGGTATGCACACGTGAGTGCGGATGCCTGAAGAGGCCAGAAGAGGGCAGTAGATCCATTGGAGCAGGGAAAAACCCGTCCCTTGTGAGCTGCCAGTCATGAGTTCTGGGAACTGAAGCCTGGTTCTTTGGGAGAGGAGGAACCGGTCTTTACTGCTGAGCCATTTTTTCCAACCTCACTGTAGAACCACTTTTGAACACAGCTTGCATTTTGAAAATATAATTGCCTTGGCCACTGGGAAAGAATTAGTTTAGCTTCCCCTGATTGGAACTAATTTTACATTGGCATACTATTATACTCACAACTTCATTCAGCTGAGAAGGCTGATTGGCCCATGGTTTCCGACAAACATATACTTCGGAACGAGACTGGAAAGTTGTGAATCTGCTACAACCAGCTACAGCCTTCACTTCTCAATGACCCCTGACACAGTCAGCAAATTTATTTCTGCATCTTTCACCCAAATGACGAATCTATTGTATTTAGTAGTGAATCTTTATCGGATGAACCTTATAAGCCACCTACGCACCTGTACTAAAATGTACCCTGTCCTTGGAAGCAATATTATTAGTGAGCAATGGCTCTTTCAAACTAATAGCAAATGTTGAGTTGTTACATACTAACTACCAATTTGACCTGCATTCCACTCGTGCATTTGGGAAGAGCCTATTTGCAATTAAAAAAATAATGCCGTGGTTCTTAAATGTAATTTATGTTGCAAAATAATGAATTTGGTAAATATAAACTTTCATTACATTTACAGAAAATGGAGTACTGTTTTCCCCCTTATCACAGATGATTAGAATAATAGCAGAAAAGGACAAACTCCAGAATCCAGTCATCAAAAGTGCTATCTCCTGTCTGCACGGTGTATTTTGAAGAGAACCGCTCTATCATTCTGCGTGCGCACATTTACCGTTTCTGAGGAAGGATCTCCGAGATTGGCCTCCGTTCAGCGGCGGTAGAGTCTTCTTCTCCTGGCTGACGAATGTGTCCCATTTCACCTTGTCACAGCCTCCTAACTCCTTGACTTTCTGTAAACAACTTTCCAAGTACTCTACGGGGTCTTCAGGCTTGGAACACATCAAGCCATTCAAAAGGCTCTGAAACAGACATATTTAATATATATATAAAGTACAGATAAAAATCTATTTTGACACCGTGCCCTAGCTTGTTTTCTATTGCTGTGGTAAACATCATGACCGCGAGGTGCGGAAGAAGGGGCTTATTTGGTTCACATTCCCGGCTCACACTTCTGCATCCCAGTCCATCACAGAGGGGAGTCAGGGCGGGGACCCACGCCGGAACCTGGCTGCAGGCATGGGAGCAGAGGCCCTGGGAGAAGTCAGCCTTGCCTTCATGACTGGCTCCTCCCACTTTCTTATACAACCTGGGCTCACCCACCCGCTGGGGGCGGCACCGCCCGCCTGTGGTGAGCCTAGCTCTCCTGCATCCCAAGGCTGGCTTGCAGGCCAGTGCCACAGAGGGGTTTGTGCAACTGAAGGATCGCTCTCTTCCTAGGTGACCCTAGCCTGCATCAAGTCGACGGAGACCCGCCAGGAAGCATCGCTTTTGTGAAAGCGTTGTTGTGTCTCATCTCTCTAGATTCTGGGCTGTCTTCAGCGTTTGTTTTGCTGTTGTCTTGCTAGTCTTCACTAGACACAGTAGTGGATTCCAGAATGTTGCTTTCACTGTATGTGTCTCCTTGTGCTTTGGTCATGTTCGGGGCCCCATCACCCTCTCTTGGCTCCGCCTCCCACTGGTCCCCTCTTGCCCCCAAATGATCCCTGCTCCAGTTTCATGCCAAACATGTTTAGATGTATAGTTGATTCTAGATTCCCTCCATGAGACAAAATGTGCAATATTGGTCATCTCCCGCCTCCCTCTCTTCCCGTTAGTCTCCTTCCTCCCCACAAACAGCTCCCTCCTATTTTTATGCCATTTGTTTGTTTGTCTCTTTAAATCTAGATTTTACATTAGAGGAAACCTATGATTTATTTGGGGGGGGTCTGGCTTAGTTCACTTAACGTGGCCTCCAGTTCCAATCAAATAATCTCCTGTGTCCCTGAAAAGTTAATTTTGTTCTTCTGTATAACAGGTTAGAACTCCATGGTGTATTCACACTACATCTTTGTTTTTTTTTTTCAATCCATCCATCTGTTGATTAACATCTGTCCTGGTTTTATCTTTAGCTGCTGGCTTGACACGGTCCAGAGTCATCTGAGTGAGTCTTAGTTGGAGGACTGGCTGGGTCAGGCTGGCCCGGGGTCCTGCTAGTGGGGGACTCGCTCAACTGATGAATGTGGAGGGCTCGGTCCACTGTAGGCAGAACCTTCCCTAGGCAGGACAGCAGTGCTCATCCTGTGGCTTCCGCTTCCGTTTCTGCCTGAGCGTTTGTCCTGACTCCCCTGCCCCCATGAGGGATGGTTACCTGGAAATGTAAGCTGGAACAATTCCTTTCCTTTCCAAGCTTGGGTGGTATGCTTAAACCCCTTTGAGTGCCCAGGGGTAGTCTGGAGTCGCATGGTAGTTACGCTTGCGATGTTGTGGCTTTTGAGACAGAGCCCCATGTAAACCTAGGTTGGCTCTGAACTTGCTTTGTAGCTGAGGGCAATCTTGAACATCTGATTCTCCCGACTCTGCCCCCCTTGTGATAGGGTTCCACGTGTGCACCCCCACATCCGGCTTATGCAGTGCCTGGGCTTGGACCTAGGTCTTTGGCATTTGAGGCAGGCACTGTACCCACTGAGCTATGTCTTCAAGTCTGTTTTGAGCCGTACTGAATTTCCACAGGGGCTGCAGTAGTTTGCATCCCCATAAGAAGCATGTGAGGGTCTTCTCCCTAAATCCCCCTGCGTCTTCTCCAGCGCACGCTCAATTTCTTTACCACAGCCTTTCTGACCAGGGAGATGGGATATCAGTGTGGTTAAAATTCACATTTCCCTGGTGACTAAGGATGTTGACCACTTTCGTTTTTTTCTTTACTTTCTTTTGCCCCTCAATTCTTTCTATATTTATTGGTTAGATGATTTGCTCTACTGGTGCTTTATTTTATGATTCTTCATATATCTTACACGTTAACCCCTTGTGAGGTTTATAGCGGGACAATTTCTTCCTGCATTCTGTATGCTGTGTCTTCATTCGGTTGTTTCCTTGGCCTTACAGAACTGTCTTAATTTCATGTAATCCCTTCTGTCAGTCCTTGCTCATATTTCTGGAACTTCTGATCTTCCCCTCCCCCCGCCGCCCCAGGAAGCTCTTGCCTATGCCTCGATTGTGATCTGTCTTCCTTATTTTCCTCTGGTTGTTTGATCCATTTTGAATTTTTTTAAAAACCAGGGTGAGAAATGCATATCCACTTTCATTCTGCATGTGGATACCTAGTTTCCTCAGTACCATTTGTTGAAGAGGCTGTCTATGCTCCAATGTTTGCTTTTGCCAAGTTTGTCAAAGATTGGGTGTCTGTAGCTTCATGAGTTTATTTCCAGGCCCTCTCTCCTATTCTGCTGGTCTCCATGCCTGTTTCTATGCCTTTATCATGCTATTTTTGCTGCTAAGGCTGTATAGTGAAACTTGAAACAAGCATGTATAGAGAACCCACCAGAATTGCTCTTTTTGCTCTTGCATTTCTTTTAGTAAGCTATTTGAATTGAAACTGAGATCTGATCAAGGATTTAAGATAATCCCTTAAAGTCTTGACCTGTTCAATTGTGTCTTGTTTGGTTTTGGTCTTTTGAAACAGGGCCTCCCTATGTAGCCCTGGCTAGCCTGGAACTCAACTATGTAAATCAGGCTGGTCTCGAACTTACAGAGATCCTCCTGCCTCTGCCTCCTGAGTTCTGGGATTGAAGGTTTAGCCACCATGCCCAGCACCAGGAAGTTCTCAGCTCAGCATTCTCTGCCTTTCAAAAGGGAAGGCAACTGTGTAATTAAAGACTTTCATCAAGACAAGTGCATCATGAGAAATGACCCCGTTGTCATTATTTATTTATTTATTTATTTAAGTCCCTAAAGTCTTATCCTGCCTTTATTAAAATGTCTAAGCCTTACCTCTGCTGTGAAGTGGATTTTATTTTATAGATTTTAAAAAATGTATTTATATGGTCCTTCTTAAGAGTTTCACATGTAACACTTGCTGGACAAATGTTGGCTTGAGGCGTTATAGTCATAATTATCACAATTCTGAATGCCTGGGCTGGCCTGTGGGACTGAGGAAACACCACACTTGTCATTTACATTGGAGCACTGGTTTATCAGTCTCCAAGACTGTAAGATCTCATTAAGACAGAGTAGGCCCATCCACTTCTTAGTTGGATGCACACGTTGAAGTTCTATGGTTAGGACTAAAACTCAAGTCTAAAAGTGAGGCTTAAAACTGAAGTCGGGGGCTCTAAACATTGCTGGGTGGTCAACTTTTCTCTGCTGCTCTTGTAGGGGGCCCGAGTTTAGTTCCCAGCACACACATCAAGCAGCTTACAACTGCTTATTCCAACTCCAGGGCACCTGACAACTTTTGCCTCCACAGGCACTATACTCATGTGCACACACATGAACACACGCACACACACACACACTTTAAATAATAAAAACAAATCTAAAAGTTTAATGTTAGATTTGTGATATTGATATGCAATAAATCTCTACAGTATCTCTTAAGATTATAGAGGGGAAGTATGGTCTTATTTGGTTTGAATTCAGGACGCCTTGTAGAGGGTAAGATGTCCATGTGCTCACACATAGCACTAGAGGAACCAGAACCGATAAACACCCTGGCTTTGTTTATCAGTGGAAGACGCCGGCACCTGTTCCCCGGAAGGAAGGCTGGAGTGGACACTGCTTGATAACTTGGTGAACTGTTGTTAGTCTATGAAGCCAGCCTTTACCAGAATCCCCCGGAACCCTGAGCATTGTTTCCCAGGCAATAGAACCCATCCTTATGCTTATTACAAACCTGTCCTCCCTAGGTCCTTACCCCGAGCACTGCCACAGTCAGTAGAGCCCATTCCTGTGAAAAAGGCCACAGGTGATTTTCTGGAGATGCACTTTGTAAAGGAGCTTGAATGTAGCCATGTCTAAAGCTTTGCTGTGATAAACTTGTCATGAGGAAACTTCCCCCAAAGTTTTGTGTGCATATGCAGACTCCAGACATCTGAACTAGCACTAAGTTGGACTGAACTTGAGTTACCTTATTTGGATTGTTTCCTAACTGTGTTTGCAGGGACCCCTAAAGTGTGTGGCTAGTGGAAATTAATACATACTAGTTTCCAAAACTTCTACATCTTTGGAAATGCTGACTCCTGAGAACTGACCTGAGGTACAACCATATTTTCCTTTAGAATGTTTCATGGAAAAGCATAAATTACTCTCATGTATAAATTACTAACACATGAAGCACACCCTTGGGAAGGTTGGCCAATCTCAACACAGCTTTGAATTTTTAAATCACTATTGTTCCATTTTCCCAAAATGGCAGGCAATTCCTACTAGGTACATTTGTTTTCTGAAATCCTAAATGGAGTGGGTGTGGGTGTGCGGCTTCATCAGATGAATTCAGCTGCTGAGGGGGCAGAGAAAGCATCATCCAGCTTCTGGGAGGGTTAGCTTCCCACACTCCTGCTATTCTCTGGGCCTGAACCAACGGCATCTACACAGGAAGTCCTGTGTCTCACGTGGACTCTGTGTGTATGCTCACACGTACATGCTGTGTCTCACAGGGACTCTGTGTGTATGCTCACACGTACATGCTGTGTCTCACAGGGACTCTGTGTGTATGCTCACACGTACATGCTGTGTCTCACAGGGACTCTGTGTGTATGCTCACACGTACATGCTGTGTCTCACAGGGACTCTGTGTGTATGCTCACACGTACACGCTGTGTCTCACAGGGACTCTGTGTGTATGCTCACACGTACACGCTGTGTCTCACAGGGACTCTGTGTGTATGCTCACACGTACACGCTGTGTCTCACAGGGACTCTGTGTGTATGCTCACACGTACATGCTGTGTCTCACAGGGACTCTGTGTGTATGCTCACATGTACATGCTGTGTCTCACAGGGACTCTGTGTGTATGCTCACACGTACACGCTGTGTCTCACAGGGACTCTGTGTATGCTCACATGTACACACATGTACACACTGTGTTTCACACGAACTCTGTGTGTATGCTCACACGTACATGCTGTGTTTCACACGAACTCTGTGTGTATGCTCTCTTACGTGCACCCGCAGTCCTGTGGGCAGCACTGGCTCTATTTGGGGGGGGTCACAAAAATCACGTTTTAGAGATATTAGTAACTTGTTTAGCTTCAGACCTCTAAACTCAGGTATCTTCCTTGTACATTGTATAAAGATATGGAACGGGGTTAAAGAAAACAGGTTCTCTGTGCCTCATACATAATCCAACTAAAATATTAACATTTAAAATTTTTACTTTCTTAAAGCTGAAGTTGGGTGGGCATATGCAATGCAAGTTTTTCTGACTGGGAAACAGGTTTTCAAGCTCTCCTGAGGAGCAGTGATTTTTTTAAAGGGACAGTGGTCACCACTATTTCATTGATAATTTAAGTCCTTTTTTTTAGTAACCAGCTGCTCCAGGGTGACAATTACTAGTAGATGTTACTTCTTAGCTTCTGAGTTAATCCTCTGAAATTATGACTAATCTGATCGGACCTTTGATAGCGTTCTGACTAATTGCCAAGTCTTTGTTCTAAGGTCCCAGATCAGTACTCACATTACAAAGCTCAGTGGGATTAGGGGACACAGCAAAACCTGAAAGTGTTTGTTTTGATTTTTTTAATTTAATTTTAAAGGGGAAGTACTTCTTGGCTACGAGTCTAGCAGACACCCTATGCCGCCCAAAGAAATCTGAGACGTTCCCTTACATAGGTGGCTGTTTTGGTGACACATAGATTCATTGTCTGTTTCCCGACGGTCAATGGCATGTGCTGCTGTGGCTGTTGGGTTCCGGCAGCCACCTGGCTAAACTCCACACACTCAGAAGAGCGTGGCTCTGGCACAGAAAACCCAGGCTGCTGTTTGCGGTCTGTGCTCAGCACGTGGACGATCAGGTCCCGCTTCCCCCACCCAGACTGCACAGCTGATTCCTCTCACTGACTGGATGGAATCTTGAGGTCACCGGCCCTCCCCTTCTGACTCTTTGCAGGCCCAGAACTCAATCTCAACAGGCTGCCTTAGTGCCTGTCACTCAGGTAAGCAGGCTGACTCCCTTTTGGGTGTGTGCGCTATTTCGAGACGCCCCATTCATATGCAGAAAAGCTGAAGCCTAAACGACCCCCTGCCGTAGCTTATTTGCAGGCGTGCTGAAGAGTTTTGTGAGCAGGCCATCAGTCCAGGCTTCCTGTAAGCCACCTGACACCAAGGAAGAGAAACAGTTCCCGCATGCATTTTGCAACCAGAAGACTCTCCTACCGATGCATCTATCATCCTTTCAGAAGTGTAGAAATAAAACCGGTTACAATCTTAACGTTTGTGATTTAAAAAAAAATCTTTCCGCTCTTCATTTCCATATTTGCAAAAGAAAGCAAAAAACTCTTGAAGCACTGTAATTATGGCTTCCCATGTTAAAGATAGTTTTTTTTTGGAGAGGAATTATTGTAAAAATTATTTTCTTAAAAGATACTTTCCTTTGACCAGAACAAGCAGGGAAAAGAACAATGCGTGGCCTTTAGTTTATTATATTAGTCTATCATTTCCTTTGAAATGCGAGGCCGGTTTTTAAGGTCTCAGCCTATGAAGCTTGGCTTGGTGCCATTCTTTTTTAAATTTTATTTTGTTTTATAATCTAAGCCAACAGCACTTCGCATCTAGGGGTGTTTTAAGATCGAATATGGAGAGAAGGGGACGCGGGGCTTCTCTCTGGGAAGGCCACTGTGGCTGGAGCAATGTTCCTTTAACCCTGCTTCACGGTCTTTGAGTGTTACCCATCCTCTGGTCCGGTGCGGATGCTGCTGCTATGCTTCAGCAGAGGCCAGCAACAGGAGTCGCGCCTGTCTGGCCGCTCCTAGTCAGACCCAGTCTGTGTAGATGGGCAGGAGGGCTGGGCTGAAGCCGGAAGGAGAGACAGGATCCTGAGCCTCTCAAGCAACCAGCAAATGCGCTCTGGAGTTCATTGACTGAAATAGAGCTTCGGCTCTGTGTGTCTGTGCGAGTGTGTGTGTGTGTGTGTGTGTGTCTGTCTGTGTCTGTGTGTCTGTCTGCGTGTGTGACTGTGTGTGTGTCTGTGTCTGTCTCTGTGTGTGTGTCTGTCTGCGTGTGTGACTGCGTGTGTGTCTGTGTGTCTGTCTCTGTGTGTGTCTGTGTGAGTGTGTCTGTGTTTGTCTGTGTGTCTGTGCGCGCGCGCGCGTGTTTCCTCCCTCCATCTCTCTCTCCTCAAGCTGTTTTCCGGGAGGGTCGCTTCGCCCATGCTCACCCTTTCCCTGCAAGGGTCCCAACTCCTGGCGCCTGGAGTGTTTGGGGCTCTGGACCCTTCAGTCTCCTGTCTTGGCTCGGTGTGGGCGACTGTACTCTCACCTGGCTTAGCCCCAGAGACCACGGTGCTGCCAGGCCACGGTCCCCCGTCCACTCGGGGCGCCCATGTCTGGGGGATGCGCCCCGGGGCAGCCTACATCCAGAAGCCGGCTTAAGGAGGGAAATTTGATCCCAAGGTGCGGGTTTTGAAGCCCACATTCGAAAGGGACCCTAGCAACCCGCGGGAGAGGCGACTCGTCTCGGGCGAGGGGACAGCTAGCTCCTGTGAGCGCCTTCACTGGGTACCCCGCACCGGAAGGTGCGGTCAGGCACTGGCCCTCCGAGCCCCGGGGATGGCCGCCGGGGACCCGCGGGTCACCCAGCCTCTCACCTCGAAAAGCTGAGGAATGTCCCTCCGGGCCAGGTACTCCTTGGCGTCGTTGGTGTTCATGGCTGTGCGGCGCGTGCGGTGGGGTGCAGGCGGGGAGGCTTCCGGAGCCGGGGCTGGCGGGGCGCAGCCCTCACTTGGATGCGCGCAGGCCGGGGTCCCCTCGCCGACTCCCGGGCAGCTGTGCTGTCCGCGCTCCCGCCGCCCCCGCGTCCGCGCTGGTCCCCGCGCCAGCAGCGAGCAGCCGCGGCTTCCCCGGCGCAGGCAGTGCGAGCGCCAGGGGAGGGGCGCGGAGGAGGACCGCGCGGCCGACGCCACCAGCCGCCGCCTCCTGGCTCTGCGCTCCCGGCCCGCGTCTCCCGAGCCCGCTGCAGCGGCCGCCAGTCACGCTGCGCGGGCGGGCGCGGGCCGCGGGGGTGGGGACACGCGGGTTGCAGTCGCTCCCCAGCCCGCAGCACCGCCAGGGCACCCGGGAGCCAAGGACTGGGCGATTGAAACCTGATACATTTTCACTTCAACACACACACACACACACACACACACACACACACACACACACACCAAACACACCCCCCCCCCAAACACACAGACACACACTACCCTGAGGCCCCCCAGGAAAAACCCAAGTCAGAGAATTCAGCATATGTTCTTAAAGTTAATGATCTTTCAGTGACAGGGAGTGGGGAGTAGGGAAGGAGAGGGGAGGGTTTCCGTGTCAGTCATTTTAAGTACCTGGTGCTTAAGGGAAGTTTGGCTAGATGGCTTCAGGTTTCCTTAAACATGTGAGTAGAAGGCCTGAAATCGTTAGCAGAAGAGTTGGTGAGGAGTCAGAGAACCGCTCTGAGAGGTGGAGGCATGGGAGAGGGGTGGAGGACAGCTTTAAACCGGAAAGGGCTTGGGGGGTGGAGTGCGTGGACATCAGTTAGATTAGAGGGCTGTGTGGTCGCTGGCCCAAAGGCCGTCTGAGGTCGGAGCCTCCCGTTAGGAGCCGGCTGGTGAGGTGTCCTGGTGCCTACCCAAGGGTGGTGGGTCTGTCACTCTCCCCCAAGGTGCACCATCCTCCTCCCCACCCTACCAAGATGACTCATTTCTCACATGTCTTTTCCCTGCCTCCTTGAGAGATGCTCCCAGCTCCCTGGGAATGTGATGCTCTCTAACTGCTTGCAAGAGCCCACTCTGCAGGAGGGTATGTGGCAGACAGGAAGTTAAAAGCTACAGATTACTGGCATCTGGAGTCTGGTGGAAAGCAACACTTTCAATCCTTCAGATTCCAAAACTCACAGTCTGAACGTGTCTCAAGTTCATCTTCAAAGAGCTTTGTCTTGGTCCTATTTCCTGCCTCACAGGCCCCTGCTTCTCAAGCTCAAGGATGGCTGAAGCTGTATTTGACAAGCAGAGGAGGAGACCAAACATTTACTAGCCCAGCTTTGTGAATTAAAAAAATTGTGAACACCCAAGAAGCCATGTGCCGTAACAACATGTCCTGTGGTAGCCTGGATGGAGGCAGGCATTCGGTTCTGAGTACATTGGGATCCTCTGCTAGAACGTGTCCCAAGGTAGGCTTCTCAAGCCTATTTGACAGCAGGCTTCGGAAGGAAACAAAGCCACCTCTGTCCCAGCCAGCGGTGGCCACAGTCCTTGGAAAGTCCTAGGGCCCAGGGGCTTAGTGAAGTTCGAAGCACATGGAACCTAGCGGTTAGTTCTTGTAGGTCTTCTCCAGGTCATTTTCCCCCTTAGTTTTGTTGCCGTTGTCATGATCTGTTTGTTTTAAGATGGTGCAAGATTCTTAGGGTCTTCAGTAAACCCAGCAAGTAACTGCAAGGCCCAGTAAAAAGACGTAAGAAAGAGTAACTCACTTGAAAAAAAAAAAGACAAGTTTTCATTAGCCTTAGAGAGTGCAAGAGGCTCACCACTCCTATTGCAGAGTGTGGCCTCCTAGGAAAGGAACATTCGCAGGAAGCACAGTGTTTAGAATCTAGCCTGTTCGTTTAGAAGGGGAGAGAGCTCAGGGACAAGGACACAAGGGCATCCTTGCCATGCATGTCTAAGCTGTCTTGCCAGCCCCGTGATGTGATTCTAAGGTAGGTTATAGAGAGAGCCTGACGCCCCTTGCACCGTGGATTCCGACACGCTCCAACAGACTACGATTCACCCCACGTCTGCTGTATTTCTGAACCATTCATACATCATGGCATGTTCCCACACTAAATTCAGGTTAAAAAAAAATCTAAGTGGGTCACGACCAAATAAGTTTAAGCAAACTAAGACTTGTTGTTTTCATTTTACATTTAATACAAATGGAATTGCCCCCCCATCCTCTTCAAAAATCTTTTTGTCACGGCTTTAACTTTCTGTAGTACAAATTTCAAGAAAGGTTAAAATTTTGAAGATGTAAGGAGTTTGGACATCTGAGAAAAGTTAATTAAATTGTCTCCTGGGTCAGAGCTTGGGAGGCTACGCACGTTTCTGAGCTATGTCAGTAACTGGGACACACACCATCTCTTGCTGGCGGGGAGCCTCATCTCCGCCCGAGAACGTATGTAATCGGTGTGGTGGGGAGCAGCAAGATGCTGTGCTGACAAATCGGACGCACTGGGTTTGTTCCCCGGGACCCACATGCTTGGAAGGGGAGAACCAACTGCCAAAATCTGTCCTCAGATCTCCACACATGTGGCATAGGGGGCCTCACCCACCCACCTACACTCACACACACACACACACACACACACACACACACACACGCACACACACACACACCACATAAATAACAACGTAATAAACAGTTTAAGCTGTACACTGGGGGAGGGAAGAAATTAAATGGGCAACAGCTACTTCAGACTGTGATCAGCAAGAGGCAGACAAACCACAGAGATAGAACAAAGACAGACGCAAACAAGAACACGCCAGATAGTGGCAAGAGTGATAGGGACAAATCAGAGCTAACTTGATTTGAAGCGGTGGGGGTGTGTCCCGATCTAGCCTGTGGGAGGTGCCCAGGAAGTGGACTGTAGGTGGTCACAGGATGATGACTAGGACTTCCAAAGGACCGGGGATGTTGGAGGAGGGAGGAGCTTTGGGAGGGATTTTTCTCTGAGTCATCATCCTTAAGGAGCCTGCTGCCGCTGACACACAGACATGAGTTTCAGCAAAAGGCCAAGCCAGCTGGGCCCCGTTCCTCGAGGAGCTGAAGCTGAGGACCGCACAAAGAGGGCCTGTGGACTTTCTGCTCACTGCGTTAGACCCCAGGCAGAGAGCAGGAGCCTACACTCAAGCCCTTGGGTGCTACTGGCAGCTGTGTCTGTCACCATCACCTAACTGTGGCCGGTTCAGCATGGAGGACTTGAGGAATAAAGCGGAAAACGTTTCTCATGGAAAAGGGGGTTTGGCTAGTGGGGGAGGGGACCATGGGGGGCAATGGAGAGTATGGTCTAAGTAACATATATGTGATTATGTGCGAAATTTTGTAAAAGAATAGAAGGTCTCTGCTGATAATATTTAAAGGATCCAGAGGTTGTGTAGGAAACATATAATTTCTAATCATTATACTTTGGAGTGTTCAATTTCTCATGAGTAGCACAGAAAACATCTGTCTTCTAATTGTCCTGTTTTCTTCACTTATTTGTAACCTATTGGACCATTTAGGTTTGTGAGAAACTTGGGAGCTTTTTTTTTGGCCTAGAAAAATTACTAAATATGTAAGACCTGCCTCCACATTTTTGCAGACAGTTTTGATAAGTATCTCTCTGATTTACAAGCAGTCTTTTCCAGAGGGCTTTCCTGAGGCTTTGACTTTTGTGGGAACTGGGATGTAATTATTACTCTCAAATCTGGGATGAACATAGGGCAATGTAACAGTGTGTGACACAAGTCTCCAGCCAAAGAGAAATTTCCCTATGTTCCCTTTCTAACCTACGCAGGCTGGACATTTACATTCTAGATTCCAAAGACCACCCTGAATTCTTGGGTTAGGAGCTAAAAGACTAAAATTTCTCACAATGTCTGAAAGAATTAAGAAAAGAATATCAAGTAGAATAATTTCAATCTGGCACCAAAACAAAACAAAAGCTATGGTTTGGGAGAACCTTACATTATAGTTTCATTAATCGATTTTCATGCAGAATGTATGTCTCGAGCCAATGTTTCTGAATAACCATCCCTACATTTCCAACCCATATTTGGAGGTAGAAATGCAAAGGACAAGGCCCAAAGAGCTCAGCGTCTAGTAGTAAGGGAGAAATGTGTGTCAATTAGGTCTGTATAAATGCTGTATTTCAGTGGTGGGGTGGAGACAGACATGTGAAGATTTACAGTGGAGACAAGAGATGGCTCAGTGGTTAAGAGCACGGACTGCTCTTCCAGAGGACCTGGACTCAATCCCCAGCACCCACATGGCAGCTCACAACTGTCTGTAACTCCAGTTCCAGAGGACCCAACACCCACAGCAAAACATCAATGCACATAGAAAAAGACCCATAAAAAGAATCACATAAACACACCAAAAAAAGCACTAAAAAGAAACCCCAGATAGACTTTACATTTTTCACCATCCTCAAAAAAATTATTGTGTTTTACCTGCTGTCTTTCCCACCTCCTTGACCTCAGACAGACAGACATTATTATCGCCATTCTTGCATGTTTATGACCTTGACAGCATCATTTTAGGTGGCTTTGTAGCCCACTGACAGAGCAGTGTCCCTATCTTCTCCCAAGGATGTACATTTGGGTGGCTTCTATGGTTATGCTACTCTAAGCGACTCCTGTACAAATTCTGTGCATAATTTTTCACATTTTAAATTATCCCTTAGTATAAACTTCCCAAGGCAGGGTTGCTAGATGAAATGGAAAAACCATTGTGTGTTTCTTACTTAAGTTTCCAGAAGGATCCAATCTAATTATAGCACCATAAGTCATGTTTTGGGTAGATGAGAGGTCTAGTTTTATTGCACTTTTTAAAATAAGGAATTCTGTTTTTCATCTTTCACTTTCACCAAAATGGATGAAAATTGCACATCAAGACAATTCCATCAGGGCTTTGTTCCCATCTCCTTTGCTAGGTCCTGTCTTCTGATGTTAGACCATTTTCATCTCTCCATTTTCTCTCATTGTTTACTTTCTCATGATGATACTTTTGTTTATGACTTGATTACAATGTTTATTATATTCTACATTATAGGACAATTACTTCCCAAATTGTGAGGTTTTTTTTTTTTTTTTGG